CTCCCAGGAGCCCACGAAAGTGCCGACAGTTGCGCAGTTGGCAGCTCCCCCCGCAGGGAGCCGCGAGGTCCCGACGCGATCTGCGTGTCCCCCCACTCCGCTGGGCCTCCCAGGAGCCCACGAAAGTGCCGACAGTTGCGCAGTTGGCAGCTCCCCCCGCAGGGAGCCGCGAGGTCCCGACGCGATCTGCGTGTCCCCCCACTCCGCTGGGCCTCCCAGGAGCCCACGAAAGTGCCGACAATTGCGCAGGTGGCAGCTCCCCCCGCAGGGAGCCGCGAGGTCCCGACGCGATCTGCGTGTCCCCCCCCCTCCGCTGGGCCTCCCAGGAGCACACGAAAGTGCCGACAGTTGCGCAAGATCGCAGGAGGCGACAGATGCGCAGATCGCAGCCCCGCAGAGGGCGCCGCGAGGAGGAGGTAGGAGGCAGGAGGGAGGTGGGCGGGAGGACGGGGCGACCAGAGTGCTCTATATTCAATACCCAGGGACGTACCCAACCCTTTGGCAACAGGTGGCATTATCAACTGTAGCTTTCAAAATAGCTGAACCTCCGCTGGACGTCCAAGAGGTCCACGAAAGCGACGACCATTTCATTCGTGGCAGTCGCCGCGCTTGAGGGTCAAGCGCGGCGATTGCCAATATTATCCCAGCAACGCAACCTAACAACCTAACAGCGATGTGTAGGAGCATACCTGGAAGCATTCCCCTTAAGATTCAGATGAGAATCCAGTAGTAGAATTCTGCTGTTCTCGCAGTCGTAGTCGCATTCGCGATGACAGTCGCAGTGGCAACGGCAGTCGCAGTCAAAGCCTCAGCCTCAGCCTGCCTCAGCCTCGGCCTCAGCCTGCCTCAGCCTCAGCCTGCCTCAGCCTCAGCCTCAGCCTGCCTCTGCCTCAGCATCAGTCTGCCTTCAGCCTCGGCCTCAGCCTGAGCCTGCCTCAGCCTCACCCTGCATCAGCCTCAGCCTCAGCCTCAGCCTGCCTCAGCATCAGCCTGCCTTAGCCTCAGCCTGCATCAGCTTCAGCCTCAGCCTCAGCCTCAGCCTGCCTCAGCATCAGCCTGGCTCAGCCTCAGCCTCAGCCTCAGCCTGCCTCTGCCTCAGCCTCAGCCTGCTTCAGCATCAGCCTCAGTCTGCCGTCGGCCTCGGCCTCAGCCTGCCTCAGCCTCAGCCTGCATCAGCCTCAGCCTCAGCCTCAGCCTGCCTCAGCATCAGCCTGCCTCAGCCTCAGCCTCAGCCTGCCTCAGCCTCAGCCTCAGCCTGCTTCAGCCTCAGCCTCAGTCTGCCTTCAGCCTCGGCCTCAGCCTCAGCCTGCCTCAGCCTCAGCCTGCATCAGCCTCAGCCTCAGCCTCAGCCTGCCTCAGCCTCAGCCTGCCTCAGCCTCAGCCTCAGCCTGCTTCAGCCTCAGCCTCAGTCTGCCTTCAGCCTCGGCCTCAGCCTCAGCCTGCCTCAGCCTCAGCCTGCCTCAGCCTCAGCCTGCTCAGCCAGCCTCAGCCCTCATCCGCCTGCCTGCCTGCATGAGCATCAGCCGGCCTCAGCCTGCCTCAGCCAGCCTGCCTCAGCTCAGCCTCAGCCTGCCTCAGCCTCAGCCTCAGCCTGCTTCAGCCTCAGCATCAGTCTGCCTTCAGCCTCGGCCTCAGCCTCGGCCTCAGCCTCAGCCTGCCTCAGCCTCAGCCTCATCAGCCTCAGCCTCAGCCTCAGCCTGCCTCAGCATCAGCCTGCCTCAGCCTCAGCCTCAGCCTGCCTCAGCCTCAGCCTCAGCCTGCTTCAGCCTCAGCCTCAGTCTGCCTTCAGCCTCGGCCTCAGCCTCAGCCTGCCTCAGCCTCAGCCTGCATCAGCCTCAGCCTCAGCCTCAGCCTGCCTCAGCATCAGCCTGCCTCAGCCTCAGCCTCAGCCTGCCTCAGCCTCAGCCTCAGCCTGCTTCAGCCTCAGCATCAGTCTGCCTTCAGCCTCGGCCTCAGCCTCAGCCTGCCTCAGCCTCAGCCTGCACGAGCCTCAGCCTCAGCCTCAGCCTGCCTCAGCCTCAGCCTCAGCCTGCCTCAGCCTCAGCCTGAGTGTGCCTTCAGCCTCGGCCTCAGTCTGCCTTCAGCCTCGGCCTCAGCCTCAGCCTGCCGCAGCCTCAGCCTGCATCAGCCTCAACCTCAGCCTCAGCCTGCCTCAGCATCAGCCTGCCTCAGCCTCAGCCTCAGCCTGCCTCAGCCTCAGCCTCAGCCTCAGCCTTTCAGCCTCAGCCTCAGTCTGCCTTCAGCCTCGGCCTCAGCCTCAGCCTCAGCCTCAGCCTGCATCAGCCTCAGCCTCAGCCTCAGCCTGCCTCAGAATCAGCCTGCCTCAGCCTCAGCCTCAGCCTGCTCAGCCTCAGCCTCAGCCTGCCTCAGCCTCAGCCTCAGTCTGCCTTCAGCCTCGGCCTCAGCCTCAGCCTGCCTCAGCCTCAGCCTGCCTCAGCCTCAACATCAGCCTGCCTCAACATTCAAAGAAATGGCTTACAGTTGGCTACGGGCATTCAAAATCATGCCCAGGAATGGAATTCTGGGAACTCGAAGGCCACGAAATGGCCTACAATTGGCTCCGGGCATTCAAACTGTGGCCCGGGAATGGAGTTCTGGGAACCTGAAGAGCACGAAGTGGCCTACAGTTGGCTCCGGGCATTCAGAATGTGGCCCGGGAATGGGGTTCTGGGACCTCGAAGACCACGAAGTGTGTAACTGTTTGCTTAAAACGACTTCCGCGGATTCTCCCCGGCACCCGTCCGGCATCTGCCCAGACCCCCCTGGGGCGTCATGATGCTTTCTTTTGAGCCTACTAGAAACCTATCAGTCTTCGCTGTTAGGTAAAAAGACGAGAAGGCCAAAATCCTTCAAAAAACTATCGTAAAATTCGTGGTTTTGGCCTCTCGGGGCCCTCCCATGAAGCCTTTTGGAGGCCTCTTAGAGCGTCTGCGAAGCCTCTTGGGCCGTCTGGGGCCCACCTTGAACGTCCTGGAGCGATCGTTCGGCGTCTCAGGAGCCCACGAAAGTGCCGACAGTTGCGCAGTTGGCAGCTCCCCCCGCAAGGAGGCGATCCGCGTGTAACCCCACTCCGCTGGGCCTCCCAGGAGCCCACGAAAGTGCCGACAGTTGCGCAGTTGGCAGCTCCCTCCGCAGGGAGCCGCGAGGTCCCGACGCGATCCGCGTGTCACCCCCACTCCGCTGGGCCTCTCAGGAGCCCACGAAAGTGCCGACAATTGCGCAGTTGGCAGCTCCCCCCGCAGGGAGCCGCGAGGTCCCGACGCGATCCACGTGTAACCCCACTCCGCTGGGCCTCCCAGGAGCCCACGAAACTGCCGACAGTTGCGCAGTTGGCAGCTCCCCCCGCAGGGAGCCGCGAGGTCCCAACGCGATCCGCGTGTAACCCCACTCCGCTGGGCCTCCCAGGAGCTCACGAAAGTGCGGACAGTTGCACAATTGGCAGCTCCCCCCGCAGGGAGCCGCGAGGTCCCGACGCGATCTGCGCGTACCCCCCACTCCGCTGGGCCTCCCAGGAGCCCACGAAAGTGCCGACAGTTGCGCAGTTGGCAGGCTCCCCCGCAGGGAGCCGCGAGGTCCCGGCGCGATCCGCGTGTCCCCCCACTCCGCTGGGCCTCCCAGGAGCCCACGAAAGTGCCGACAGTTGCGCAGTTGGCAGCTCCCCCCGCAGGGAGCCGCGAGGTCCCGACGCGATCCGCGTGTCACCCCCACTCCGCTGGGCGTCCCAGGAGCCCACGAAAATGCCGACAGTTGCGCAGTTGGCAGCTCCCCCCGCAAGGAGCCGCGAGGTCCCGGCGCGATCTGCGTGTCCCCCCACTCCGCTGGGCCTCCCACGAGCCCACGAAAGTGCCGACAGTTGCGCAGTTGGCAGCTCGCCCCGCAGGGAGCCGCGAGGTCCCGACGCGATCCGCGTGTCCCCCCACTCCGCTGAGCCTCCCAGGAGCCCACGAAAGTGCCGACAGTTGCGCAGTTGGCAGCTCCCCCCGCAGGGAGCCGCGAGGTCCCGACGCGATCTGCGTGTCCCCCCACTCCGCTGGGCCTCCCAGGAGCACACGAAAGTGCCGACAGTTGCGCAAGATCGCAGGAGGCGACAGATGCGCAGTTGGCAGCCCCCCAGAGGGCGCGGCGAGGAGGAGGTAGGAGGCAGGAGGGAGGTGGGCGGGAGGACGGGGCGACCAGAGTGCTCTATTCAAAACGAGAACCCAACCAAGGGAGGGGGTGGGAAAAAATAATCAAAAGATGCCCCCAAATACTCAAAAAATAGTTCCCAGACTATTTTTTGGTCTATGTTTGAATGTTCCTCCTGTAGAGGGAAAGGACAGGCCCGACTTAAGCCTACTTTTTGAGTTGGACAGACTTCAGCTGCAGGGCTGTAGCGCTCGGGTATGCAAAAGAACGGCCGAGTTGACGAAGCGAGTAAAGCAGATTAGGCCGCGGTCTGGTGCAGGTAAAGAAGTACTGCGAGACAATAAAAGAATGGTGGTCCCAGTGGGCAGAGTGAACGAGTCCATCATGCCCAATCCTCTTCCTTAGGTGAGTCTTTTCGGGAGCTCATTCTAACATACACCGCATCGCTTTAGAACAAAAATGCATAAACATCAACTTTTGGAGGTCCACGCGGGTTTCTTCGATCTGCGCTGGACCCCCCTCCTTGGCTCGCGGAGCGCGCCAGGGGCGGCGCCAGAGGCGCCGCCAAAGCGCTCCAGCGCAGATCCAAGAAATCCGCGCGTAGCTTCAACAATTCATAATCATACAGTTTTTTCTGCATCGAAATCCCCCAGACACCAAACGTCCTAATTGTTTCTTAGTGTCGACCCTGGTGGTATCGACCCATTCCCTGGGACCAATTGTTCGTCCTGCTTCTTTTTTATGGTCCAGAGGCATGGTAAAGGCCCTCAGAGGCCCAAAATAGAATACACCGTCCGTCGTGATTTTTTCATGACTCGAGGGGGTCTGGGTTCATTCACTCCCAATCCTCTTCCCCTCCTTCCTCCCGGCAGCACCCTCGGAGCAGCATGTGGACGGGGTCACGAGCCCCCGGCTGCAGAACAAGGCCTGCGCTCCCGCGCGTCAGGGCGCGCAGAAGGGGACCCAGGGCACCGATCAGGAGGCAGCAATGAGCTCACTGCAAGCAAACATGTCAAAGCAACTCAAACTTCACTGAAAGCATAGACGTGTTACTAAAAGCAAAAACGATTGAAAGTCGAAATGCTTAACGGCAAAAACTGAAACATGAGCAATTCTGGCTTTCATGAGACTCCTGGGAGGACTTCGAAAGAACAACAATCGTGCGGGTGGTAATGGGGGTGATATGAATGGGGGGGAGAAAAGGTAAGACGAAGCCAGGACGAGGAACAAATCGAGCGAAGATATTCGAGAATCTTTGAGGCCCGGCGGCTCAAGAGGATGTCTCGGGCACCGCGGTCTTCTCAGAGCGTTCCAGAACGCTCTCGGACGGATTTTTCCTCGTCCTAGCCCCGCCCAAGAGATCTTCACAAGAACGACAATCAGGCGTGTTGTGAAGAGAAGGGTCCCGACGGAGCCCTTTCCTTCATCCCCCCATGTAGGTCACCATCCATTACCACCCGCCCGAGATGAACAATTACTAGGCCCGATCTGGAGACTGGCACGCCGAATTAAACAGCAAGAAACAACATTGCGCGGGGCTATACCAGATGTGGCCGGTTTTCGACCACGAACCTGCGCCGATGCTCATCTGAACCTCCCAGGACTTGAATCATAACACCGCATGGCCCAGGGGAGACAGGAGGAATGCGAGGGGGATGATAGGGGATGAGGCTGATGATGGAGGCCTCCTAGATGGGGTCCGAGAAGATGGGGTCGGAGGATGGCAACGCATCGCCAATGCATCGCCGATGCCTCGGCGATGCATCGGCAGTGCATCGGCGACGTCGGCGATGCATCGGCGACGCCGGCGGCGCGATCCTCCGACGCCAGCTACGCTACTCCGACCCCATCTTGGAGGCCCATCGAGATAAGGACGGGCAGGCCCAGACCTCCCTGCGCCGTCGTGGAATCGCGACGGAAGGCTTTGCAAATGACGGGCCTCTGGGGGCCGCGTCCAGGCCGCGGGACCGACAGAAAACGACCCTGGATGGAAAACGCGCTCCGGGGAGGCGTTATTCCCCTGAGGTCCACGCAGCGAAGAGCAGAGACACGTAGATCAACTCAGCCTGGCGTAGAAACCAACCAGTTGTAAACGAGTGGCGGCTATAAATGGGACCTCTCTACCTACGCAATGCCGACGCAGCCACCGAGGCCTTCAGTGAAGCTCCATATGGGGCCACAAAGCGTGTAGGACGGGTGCCAAAATGGTGAGGGTCGCATGCAGTCGCAACCATTGGGACCTTCGGTGGAGCTCCCTACCGGGCAACGGAACGTGCGAGCGGTCCCCCGAAATCGAGACGCAGCCATTGGGGCCCTCGGTGGAGCTCCCTATGAGGCCACGAAGCGTGCGAGCGGTCTGCCGACATGGGGCGGGGCCGCATGCGGACGAAACCGTTGGGGCCTTCCGTGGAGCTCCCCACGAAGCCTCGAAACGAAGAGGGCTGCCGAAGTGCGGCGAGACGGCGGACGAAGCCACTGGGCCCTTCGGGGGGCCCCCCCACGGGACCACGAAGCGTGCGAGGGGTCTGCCCAAATTGGGCGGGGCCGCACGTGGACGCAGCAACTGGGGCCGTCGGTGGAGCTTGCACACGGACCGCGTGACGGGTGTGGTGGAAGCTTGGCGGGCTCACGTGCGGGCGCAGCCGCTGGGGCCTTCGATGAGAGATAGTAGGAGGGCCACGAAACGTGTGAGGGGTGCGCCGACATTCGAAGCATGGGAATCGGTGATGAGGACGTCAGGGGGACGGGGAGAGGAGGAGAGGAGAGGAAGGGAGAGGACGGGACGTGCGGCGCTGCGGATTCAACACGAGGGCCCAACAGGAGGGCAGGGAACAACCGTATTGGTCAGGTTCTGGATTGAGAGGCAAACCCACGGTCAGAACCGATGCGGCAACCACACCTCTGAAAACTGGCAAGGCGCGTGACGAAGCAGCGATGTCAAGAGGGAGAGAAACAACTGATCTTCGTGGGGGCTAGATAGGATCGCGCAAACTGCCGACGTGGACACAAAGCGGAGAAAATGCGATGGCCAGTGGAGAATGCAGAGACAGGGGGCGAATGAATGGAGAGAGTGACTGTGAACACTAAAACGCGTGCGTGTGGAAATGGGTTGGACCATTGGAACCGGCTGCCAACCCCAGGCGGTGTTTACGTAGTGAAGACAAAGTCCCATCACGATAAACACAAGCCCCGTGTCCCAGAAACGCAAAGGAGGAAGGATAGGGCGACGGGAGAGAAACGAGAGATACAACAACTCCAAACCACAACGTCAGCGAGCGGGGGGGGGGGGGGAAACATGCGAAGCCTGTCGCGAACCACTGAAGCAAGACCTCGCAGAACCAACCATGGCTGGATTGGCTGGAGCGAACTTCCGTGGTGCTGTCCCCTTCGCCTGCGACATACCCGCGACCCACAAACCCGCAACCAACCCTGCGACTCAGTAGTTTGTGAATCACCTTCGAAGCCGCCAATATTCACCAATGGTGTTCTGAATAAAATTACATGCAACTGTGCCAACACCCTTGGGCAGAGCATGCCCACTTTGGAGTGGCCTCGCCGGGCCGGAAACGCACGCCGGCAATGAACCTTGAATGTCAGATTGTGATTACAAATCCGCGGAGGGCGCGTGTTTAAAACAAATCGTTTCCATGCTCGGGCGAATCGCGGGGGGCCGCCCGCCAGATTGATAATCAGCGGCGGCGGCGCCGGTGATTAACTTAGCGCCGACGCCTAACCGCCAGCGAAAAGGCGATTTCTGTCGAACCGATGCGCTTTCTTTGCCCTTGCCGCAGCCAGGGGGGCGCAAGCTGCCCCGCGGGCCCGCGAGCACGGCGGGCTGGGCGAAAGGGGGGCGTGGCAAGGCGGGGATTTGCCCAGCATCTCACATTGCTGAGTTTCCGAACGCTCCGTGGCGCCGAAAGCGGCCATGCATCGAAGACTGGCCCCTCGGCGAGGGCGACCGAAACCAGCTGCGCGCAGCAGTTTTCGCAACCCCCCCTTTCCGTCCGCTCGTCCGACCCGAGCAAGGCGGGCAGTTCTCCTCCCCCATTGTCATGTTCAGTAGTCGTACAACAGCGACGACGACGACGACCACGACGACGACGGAGACGAGGACGAAAACGAGGACGAGGACGAGGAGAACGAGGACGAGGACGCGGACGGCGTACGGCAAACGGCGACGGCGGCGACGACGACGACGATGCACTGCGGATGCCCTTTGGGGGGGGGGGGGAGACTGCGCAGGCAGGCCCGCTGTAGTCGGGGTGTGTGTGTGTGTGTGTGTGTGTGTGTGTGCTGCGCAGGCCCGCTGTAGTCGATGGCGGCGACGGGAACGACAACGACAGCGACGACGGCACAACGACGACAACGACGACGACGACGCAACGACGACGACGCGTTGCAAATGCCCTGTGTGTGTGCGTGTGCGCGTGTGTGCGTGTGTGTGTGTGTGCTGCGCAGGCCCGATGCACTCGACGACGATGCCGACGACGACGACGAAGACGACGACGACGAGGGCGACGGAAAACAACGACGACGACGAAGACGACGACGTCAACGACGACGACGTCTCAGAGAGGGAACAACAACGCCTCGGATGTGTACGACCCCTATAGCAAATTCTATACGGCAGGCAATCGTTTTGAGGCTGTCATCCAAGGGGGTACACGATCCCCTTGGCGGCGCCCGCGACGACACCCTGGCACGCGTGATAAAAAAATGTTTCGCGCCCCGCGGGATCTATTCATCAGACCCGGGAGGGGTGGTACTCATTTGTTGATCACAAGCTGACATGATGGCTGCTGCTCAGACCTGAGGCGCGTCGCTTTCGGCTGAACCGACGACGTCAAGAACGACGGTCCGTTCCCTCAATGCTGGGCTTCAGGCTACCAGGCCTACCAGCTAAGCCGTCAAACGCAGCAGCCTTGACCTTGCACGAATGTGTGCAGGCTGTCGCGGAAATATAAACAAATCCTCCCGCTTTCTTGAATGAGCCGTCCCCTCGGAGGACTGCACTGACTTCCAGCCAAACCTTGCTTGTCCACGGCCCAAGGGGGTCGAGCCACCTGAACCTCCGTGTTAGACGCGCTGGGAAGCGCACGCGCGTTGAAGCCCTTGTCGTGCGCCTGGAAAGCACCCGCGTAGAAGTCGTTGTCGCGCACCACCTTCGTGGTCTCCTCGCTGACACCGTCCACGTCGCTGATCGAGGCGATCCGTTTTAGAACCCTGGCCATACACATTTGGCACGGCATCCATGGCGAAGTCGAACGCTCGAGAGCCTTCGGTTGATAACCTATGGTTTGCCAATCACATTTGAAGACGACAATGTTCACAAACAAGGCTCTGAACAACATTGACAAAATATGTGCCAGCCCCCATCGGAATGACCATGCCCACTTCAGAATGGCATCTCCGGTCCGCGGACGCACGTCGGCAAGGCGCCCTGCTGTCAGCTGCTCAAGCCTGGAGCGCATCGCCTTCGGCTACGCCGGCAAACATAGCAGCCTTGACCTTGACCGAGTGAGTGTAGGAGCGACCGTCCGCTTCCTCAAAGCTGGGCTTCTGGCTACCAGGTCTACCAGCTGCGCCAGCAGACGCAGCAGCCTTGGCCGTGAACGAATGAGAAAAGGCTGCCGTGCAGGTGGAAAACAAGCGACTCACCTGCGACCCACCCAGCGACTCACCTGCGACCCACCCAGCGCGGTGCGTGGCGTCGCCGCGGGAGGAGGGGGAGGAGGAGGGGGAGGAGGAGGAGGAGGAGAAGGAGGAGGAGGAGGAGGAGGAGGAGGAGGAGGAGGAGGAGGAGGAGGAGGAGGGGGAGGGGCAGGTGGAAAACAAGCGACTCACCTGCGACCCACCCAGCGCCCGCCCCGTGACGCTCCTCCGCAATGGCGCGGTGTTGCGCAACCCCCGTCCCCTCGTCCCCAGCCCCCCTGGCCCCGCCCCCTCGCTCTCGTCCGCAATGGCCACCTCAGCAACACCAACGGCTTGGAGGAGGCCAAAGGGTCTGAACGGGCTGGGATCCCCAGAAAATCGAAAGCCAAATCCCTTCCAAATACTCGGTCCGCGGATCCCTTCCACGGTCCATCAGCCCGGATCAGTTTTTCATAACACCGGGGCCCGAAAACGGCCCCGGGAGGCCGACAGCAGCAACAAAAACCTCCCCGAACCCAAGACCTCGAACCTGCCCGACCTTCCTGGTGGCTGGAACCATAGCTGGGCCACACTGTACCCCTGGACATCTTTAGCCGTTGTCATATCAACAGCCCTCGCGGTGACCCAAGCAAGAAGGCGTCTTAGAAGCCTCCCGTTTTTTTTTGAGAAGGCCCCGAGGCTTCTAAGACGCCCTGCCTGCGATTCCATCGCGAGCACGGGCGCCGCGCGAGCGAAATCGAGCCGTGGGGTGCCAGACGCGTCATTGGCCCCAAAACCCTTTGAATGGTCGTTGATTTTGAGGCCCCTGGAACCCTCCGGGCCGCGATCCGGGTGCTCTGGAGGCCGTGGGGGCCTCCCTGAACAAAAGTACGGGGGGCACCGTGGGAAAAGAACGCCGACGTACAGCAACACCCGACCGTGCCCTGGGAGTGTGAACTCCTGCCGCCGCTGGCATTGCTGAGCCACCGTCGGCAGGCGGGAGCAGGAGGCGCCATCCGAGCCCTAACCCCTACGAGCCAGCGATTCTCCTGAATCGATGGCAGGCGGGGGCAGGGTTCGGACTTTGCCACGCGCTTGACGAATTGCTAACGCTGACCCCGCCGCCAATCGAGCTTCCTGCATCGTTGATCGGCGCGGGTAGGGTTTGGAACTCGCCGCCGAACTGGAGAGGACGGACAGCTCATATCGTGATGGACTCGCGAACACCACTGGAGGCCCTCAGTGGCGACACCGCCACGACAGACCGAACCGCCACCGAAACCGACCGAAGCCGACAGGCCGCGGGCAGCCCTGACAAAGGGGGCGGCGACGCAGCAGAGACGCATCAACCGACCGAGCCGAGCCGGCCGCACGTGACCGGCTGCGACTCTCACTGGACCGAGCCGTAGACACCATCTCGGAGAGCGAGGCTGCGGTGCAGTGAGGGGCTGCGGGTGTGCCACTTCCACCGGACTCGGCGTCCCGCGAGAGCACTGCAGCCGTGCAACTGGAGAACCCGACGGGTACTGACACCGCCCCGGGCGCGCTGTGACCAGCACTTCGAAGCGAACGCAGCGGTGGCTCAAGAGGGCCTCGCAGGAGGCCCCCAAAAGGGCACATGTGGCGGTATGGGTACCTTTTCCTCCTCTGAGCCACGAAGCAAGGCGGGAAGACGCCTGCCACCGCCCATGCTCGGGGGCGCGCAAACATGGATTCGCGATCCATGGATTCGGCACGCGGTCGCCAGATCCATGGATCGGGGGGTGGGCCCCCCCCCCAACTGCGGCCTGTGCCGCCTCGCTCGGCGGCGGGAACCCGCGACCTTTCCATCATGGAAACGAGACCCGTCGCTAATCCACGCCCCCTTGACCCATGTGCGACCGCCTCCTCTGAGCAACGACGCAGGGCGGGAAGACGCCCGCCACCGCCCCGTGCTCCCAGCCTGCTCGCGCACTGCCGCGGGCCCCCTCGAGACAGGGGCAGCTCTCCAGACCTCCGGCCCGCCCAGCGCGCGGGCGTGACGGTGCTGCCGCCCCTGCAGCGGGCCCAGGCCTGAGGCCAACAGCCCTCTGGGCGCAGGTGGTGCCCGATGCCTTCTACGAGGCCAGCGTGGAGATGAATTCGGGCGAGGGTGAGTCGAGAATCTCTGAGATCCAGAGGTTCTGGTGGATGCCTCGGGCGCCGCGGCCTCCTCGGAGCGTTCCCGGACGTTGCTCTGAAGGCGTTCCAGAAAGCTGCGGAACGGAGTGTTCCTCATCCAAGCCCCGCCCGTGGGTGGTGCAGAGAGGCCGCGGCAATCCTGGTGCTGCTTCGCCGCCCGGAGGCAAACAGGGAAGGAGGAGAGGAGGCAGGAGGGCAGGCAGGCAGGAGAACAGAAAGGATCAAGATAGGGTATGGTGGAGGAGCAGCAGGCGGCAGAAGATAATGAGGGGGAGGAGGGAAAGGTGGACAATGAGGAATCACGACTGCGAAAGTAGGATGAGGCTGGCATTTAACACTTGACTTATACAGAGGAGGTGATGCCCGCGAGATGACGTCTGCTGGTGTCAAGACGGGGATACTGGTTGAAACAGTCCACGCGCAAGGTAAGCACACACAGTCGCGTTGGCAAGCCAATTGGACGCCTAAGCAAAATATTGTCGAACAAATGATTGGCTTAGGATGTTCCGGGGAACCAAGGATGCGTACCCCCAGGCATCCCCGTGGAATGTACATCTTGTCAAGACGATTCTGAGATTCGAGACGAGGCAATGCAAAGCACATGCGATGATGAAGACCGCGCTCCCCGCCATGGAGAATGCGGCGAAGAAGGCGACACACAGGACATGCGCGAGCGTCGCCATTGCTATATTACCTGCCCGCGGCGCGGGAGGGGAGGGCGGGCGCATAGCTGGCCCAAAAATGATTGCAATCGAAACATGTGGGACGCTCAATCAGCTCGAGCTCAAGACCCGGCTCAGTTCCCAAGCGGGACGAGACGAGACGGGGAGAAGGGCGCATGTACGCGCCACGGAATGCGCCAGGGGCGCATAAGGGGATGCGCCAGGGTACGTGTCAGGGAACGTGGCGAGGGACGCGCCACAGAACGGGCAGGGAAAGCGCCAGAGGACAAGCCAGGGAACGCGACAGGCCAGGTCTCGCGCCGAGGGGGCACGGGCATACGCCGTACCGCTGTAGGGCTTTAGGGACCCACGTGATTTCGTGCTTGTCCCGCTCCGGGGCGTTGGGAACTAACCTATGTGTTTTCACGCTTGTCCCGCTTTCTGGCGTTGGGAACCCATCTGCTTTCGCGCTTGCCCCACTCTGGGGAGTTATGAGCGTATGCGTTTTCACGCTTATCCCCTCTAGGGCGTTCGGAACCCGCGTGCGTCCTGGTAAATTACGCTGCGTCCGCTCGTCCAAGGCCGCAATCCCATATGCATTACACTGGACTTGCGCTCTCAAGGCAACGGCCCCTCGAACATTATCTTGACTTCGCGCTCCCAGGGTCGCGAGTCCTCGATAGTTGCCCAAGATCAAGCATCCAGGGCCACGGTCCCTCGTACATTACGTTGTGTTCTCGCTCCGAGGGCCACGATCCCTTGTAAATTGAATTGGCATCGTGCTCTCAGGGCCACGATCCCTCTGAAATTACACTGCGTCCGCGCTCCCAGGGCCAGGATCCCTCGAAAATTACATTGTGTGCGCGCTCCCAGGGCCACGATCCCATGTAAATTTCGCTGAGTTCGCGCCTCCAGGGCCAAGATCCCCTGTCAATTACGCTGCGTCCGCGCTCCCATGGCCAATATCCTTTTGCAAACTATGCGGCATCCGCGCTCCCGGGGCCACGATCCCTCGTACATGACGGTCCGACCGCACTCCGAGAACCACCTGGGCATTCTAGGGCGCCCAGGCTTTTCAAGCGCTGCGAAACAAGCGTTTCGCATGAGACATCCCCAGCTATTCGGCATACAGGGTGCGTCATCTTTGAGCGGGCACGCAAAAAGCAAACCTTCCTTCTGCAAAACGGGACTCGAGACATCCTCGAAATTCCTACGCTCAGGACGAGCCGTTCTCGAGCAGGCACGCACAAATCAACGTTTCCATATCTGTTTGAAAAAAATGTTGAATTCTCCGACCCCTGGTATTTATCTGGGAGTTTGCGCGGAACGCTGGCGGGGCTACTGTCTCTTTGCTTGTGCTGGCTTCCACAGAGAGGGCAAGACGCGCCGAACAAGGAGGATGCGGGATGCCCAGAAGAAACCCCAAGAGGCCTCCTGACCCGTGAACTCCACGAGAAACGCGCACAGAACTTTCGCCCAACTGTAAAGCAGCGGATTTGCAGCACGGCAGCCTGCTGGAATATCAGAGTGATGATGAAAACAACGAGGCAGACACGGAGCAGGAAGGTGAAGAACATGTCAACGACAGGGGCAGAAAGCAGGACCAGGAGCACCCACACGCACATGCTTGCTTACACGAAATATACGCAGATCGACGTACCGACATACACTTATGAGCGTAGGAGTGCTCACAAACAAGTAAGGCACGCTCTTACATTCCCACTTGGATATACAACGCATCATAATGACAGGGGGGCATGGTCAGTGGGCTTCCGAGGTGAAGATTTTTGTCGTTGAGTAAAAGGGCTGGACCTAAACGTTGTCTTTCGAGTCGTGTTCGTTTTGTCGTTCATTTTGCTCCACATGATTTACTGTACCTCCCTGCCAAAACGAAAAACAGAACACAGCCGAAGTTCAGCAAAACAGCGTTTAGGTCCAGCCCTGTTGAGTAGCACGTACGTCATTCGAGTTATTAGTGGTGGACCCTCTGCATGAGCTCTGGCGCTATCGCGTCGGCGCCAGCTGTGTTTCCGTTGAATCCAAAACTCATGCTCGAGCCTTTCGGCGGCCATTGACACTGGTCCCCAAACCACAATGACCCGCTCGCTCCGGACACCCTCGCTAAGTTATGCACTCAGGAGCGATGCCCATGCGCGCCGCCGACAACTATACTCATGCCTCCGCTCGCTAATCGCGTGCTCTTTACTCAGAAATGGCGTTCTCGCCACGGCGCCGAAGCCAGCCCCAACAAAACAGGGTCGACCCACTAACCCGGAAAGGAATATAGACATGTGAGGCATGGCAGCGTTTTTAAGACACCTGACTGGGCGACGGGCAATTGCAATGCTGAGTGTATCGGTACTGATGCACAATGCCATTGACTGTGCTGTGCTGCGCCGTGCTGACTTGCGACGTGCCATGCCGCGATTGCACACTGTAGCGTTGTGGAACGAGTCCTTCTTTGCATCCGCGTCCTCATCGAACTGATCTGGATCTCAAGCTCGAGCCGCCTGAGCACAGAGTAGCTGCCCCCGAGCTATATTGACAAGGGCGAATGCCAGGGGGGCGCGCCGCGGAACGTCCCAAGGGACGCGCCAGGGGACGTGCCAAGAAGCGTGCCATGGGGACGCACCGCGGGACGTGCCAAGAGGACGCGCTACGGAACATGCCAATGAACGTGCCACGGCACGTGCCAGGGGACGCGCTACGCGACGTGCCAAAGGGACTCGCCACGGGACGCGCCGCGGAACGTGCCAAACAACGTGCCACATTGCAATGCTGAGTGTATCGGAATTGATGCACCGTGCCATTGACTGTGCTGTGCTGCGCCGTGCTGACTTGCGATGTGCCATGCCGTGATTGCACAGTGTAGCATTGTGGATCGAGTCCTGCGTTGCATCCGAGTCCTCACCGAACTGATCTGGATCTTAAACTCGAGCCGCCTGAGCACATAGTAGCTGCCCCCGAGCTATATTGACAAGGGCGCATGCCAGGGGGACGCGCCGCGGAACGTCCCAAGGGACGCGCTAGGGGACGTGCCAGGAGACGAGCCAAAGGGACGCACCACGGGACGTGCAAAAAGGACGCGCCGCGGAACGTGTCAATTGCAATGGGCGTGCCACGGCAAGTGCCAGGGGACGCGCTGCGCGACGTGCCAAAGGGACTCGCCACGGAACGTGCCAAACAACGTGCCAAATTGCAATGCTGAGTGTATCAGTATCGATGCACCGTGCCACTGACTGTGCTGTGCTGCGCCATGCTGACTTGCGATGTGCCATGCTGCGATTACACAGGGGCGCATGCCAGGGGGACGCGCCGCGGAACGTCCCAAGGGACGCGCCAGGGGACGTGCCAAGGGACGTGCCATGGGAACGCACCGCGGGACGTGCCAAGGGGACGCGCTACGGAACGTGCTGGGGACAAGCGTTTCGCTCGCGACATCTTGCCCAAACCCTCATGCTAGACATCCGCCTTGGCGACAAGCGTTTCGCTCGAGACATCCTGCCCAAATCATCATGCTGGGCATCTGCTTGGGCGACCTGGACACGTGAACACAAGCGTCTCGCTCAACGCATCCTCAACACATCCTCATGCTAGTCATCCGCTTGGGAGAACTGGTCCGCCTGGGCGACCTAGGCACGTGAAAACAAACGTTTCGCTCGAGATGTTGTCAACACCTCCTCATGCTAGACATCCGCCTGGGCGACCTGGACACGTGAAGGCAATCGTCTCGCTCGAGACATCCTCAACCCATCTTGATGTTAGCCATCCGCCTGGGCGACCTGGACACGTGAAACAAGCGTTTCGCTCAAGACATTCTCAACACATCCTCGTGCTAGACATCCGCCTGGACAACCTGGACACGTGCAAACAAGCGTCTCGATCGAGACTTCCTCAAAACATCCTCATGCTCGACATCCGCCTGGGCGACCTGGGCGCGTAAAAATAAGCGTCTCGCTCGAGACGTTCTCAACAAATCCTCATGCTAGACATCCGCCTGGCAGTCTGGGCAACCTGGACGCGTGAAACCAAGCGTCTCGTTCGAGACATCCTCAAGACCTGGGCACGTAAAAACAAATATTTCACTTGAGAGATCCTCTGAATTCTGGTCCCCCGGAGAGGACAATCTATAACACAAAACAAGCGCTTCGCTTGAGACATCCTCAACAAAATATGCAAAACAAGCGTTTCGCGCGGGACATCCTCAAGACTGATTTCGCTGGCCCTACGCGACCTCGTTATCTACCGCAGAAAAATTTCGCCGGCCCTACGCAAGTCGAGGCCGGGGGTAACCCTACTGAAAGAGAACCCTGGGCTCAGGCCCTTCCCGGGAACGACAACGGTCATTTTGAGACCGTTCGCTTTCATCTGCCTGCTGTCTCCCTGCAAGTTTGGTATGTGGCGGATTTCGGGAAACCTGAAGCGAAACACGTTTTCATCTCTCTTGGGAACGCATTCTTTACTTCGGCCACCTCCCGCCGCCCTTCCGCCAGCGGAAGCGGCCTCGTTTCACTTCCGCCGGCTTTCCGCCGCCTTCCGCCACGGAAAAGATGGCAGTCCCTTCTATCCTCGAAGGCAAGGCTCTTTTCGGAACGCCCCATATGTATGTGTATATATATAAATATTTCTACAGACGCAAGCACATACATATATATATATATATATATATGACTCACATCCAGCACCGCGCGGGGCGAATCGACTTAGAAATGATCTGCCGCGAGGCTGGGGGGGAAGTGAGCAGGAGCGAGCCCTCCGAGCTTGGTTCGCCTTGAAGACGCCCTGAACGTTTTTTAGCGTTTTCTATGTTGGGCTCTTGACAGGGTGAAAACGTAAAACAAAACAAACGCTACGTTGTTTGGGCTTGTGTAGGGCAGTCGTTTCGACATTGTTTCGAGTTTTGTTGTGTGTGTGTTCAGGCTGAAAGCGCTAAAACAATGTCTGAACACGCTATAGCAACGAATCGCTCATTTAAGCGTTCTTATACATGTTGTTTATGTTGAGACCTGGAAGCGCTAACA